GTTACTGCAGCCTCCTGTGTGAACGTATGCAGTAAAGCTGTGTAATTTCACACAGCAGGAAGTCAGGACATTTTTAAACACCTTGTTTGGTTAATCCTTAAATATATTTACATGAACGCCCCTACAAGCACCCTGCAGTTGTTGGGTGCTGCATGGTGCGCTAAGATTCATAACTGGCTATGACTACACACCACTGCACCCAGTATTCACTGGTTAACTGCACATCATTAACTTCACACAGACTCTCCCACTGGTACATTTTAATCTTTAAATCACTTCTCGGTCTGTTTCCTTCTTACATCTCCTCCTACATGCCACTGCGTAAGTGCAGCTACAGCGTGCGCTCTCAGGACATCATTACCTGCAGTGTCCCCTCAGTGAGGACTGAACTTGGCAAATGGGCCTTCTCCTACTCCGCTCCTGCTTCCTGGAATATCTTGCAAAAACATCTGAAGCTCTCGACCTTGACTTTAAGTGGTTTCAAACATCTGCTCAGTTCCTGGCAAAAACCAATGCAGACATGTTCCTGTTTTTAGTTTTCTACACCGCCTTACAACCTAGATGTTTTTTTTTTGTTGTTGCTACTTTTCCTTTTTAATTACCATTTTATTTTCATTTGTAAAAAAAAAAAAATAGTACCCATCCTTTATGATTGTCTATTGTTGTCTTTGTTAAAATCAGGTCTCTCTTGTAAATGAGCCCCAGAGTGGCTCAGTGGGATTAACCTGCACAAATAAAAGGTTGAATGAATGAATACTGCAGAATGTCCTCCAACATTACCAAGTAATCATCAAATCTTTTGGAAGACAAAACAATTACAGGCTTGCTTTAAGTATAAATAAGAACATGCTGCAATATGTCCCTATAAAGTGACATCTTCTCATTTACTGACAGAAGGTAATAGATCAATTTGAAACTGGATTGAAATTTAAGGGGGAGTCTGTTCTTTGCTTTCCATAATAAGACCACGAGTCTGTTGTGTTGACTTCGTCTTTGAACAGTTAATTTATGCTACAAATTAAATAAAAAACATGGGATTGTTGTTTTCAGAACTGAAAAGAGGACATGAGGCTGCACCATCTCCACCTCATCACATGAAACATGCACGGAAAAAAGACGAGCTCAATTCTGAATAATTTTCTCTCTTTTTAAAAAGAGATTTTGTTGTGCATGTTGTTTCCACACCACTCAGTGGGCAGAACATGCAGTTTACATGCTACATCGTACAGACGAGCATGTGTGAGACGCTGTATGAATGATGCTCATTGTGTCCTCTGTTTAAAAAGGGCATCCTCTACAGAAAGGAGAGAGACAAAATAAGCACGAGCCCACAAGTATTCTTGCTTCAACTGTAGCATTTTCAATACAAAGCCACAATGAAAACAGAGAAACCACAGTGCATGTTTAAACATTTGCATGAAATGAAGGAGAACAAAAGTCTTTAAAAAAAAGGAAGTGGGCATTCTAATTTGTGGGCATCAGATCCTCTCTACACTGGGAATATAAATCTTGGAAACTTTGCTGAATATGCACGCTTTAGGTTGTGTGTTCCCCTTTAATGGCTGGACTCGTTCCACTGCGTTTCATGAAGTGAAAAACCCGACAGTCATGAAGTGTTCCTGCTTGCTGCTTGTGGCCGTTGTGGGTTGGCCAAAGAAACTCTGGCTCATGTTTGACAAGGGGTTAATGTTCCTGAAGAGGAGCTCGGCAAAACCACGAGAAGACAGCCAGTCTGGATGCTCGAACTGAGCCTGTCACATGTCCAGTTTCTACTCTTTCCCCCCTTTTTTGTCCCTCTAGCCTCTGACTGAACTCTGAAGTTTTCCTCCCCATCTCCCCATTTGACTGTAATGTCTAGAGCAGGACTAACCACGCCAGGACCACAGGAGGGATACAACTGCACGCCTGCTTTTGGAATCCAACGTAATTATAAGTCTGCCAAGGATTCATGCTGGATCAGTGAGGGGAAAGACTGTCAGTGCTGGATTCGCCTTGACTTACTCCTGCTCCAAACATCTGGAAACAGATGCAACAAAACTGGCACCATGTACCACACATGTGCCACTGGCAATCTATAAATGGACTTAAAACAAAAACCGTGCAGGCTGATACACCTGAGATACAGAGTGCTGAATCAGTAAAACGATGAACTTTTCTTTCAGGCCTAGTAAAAAGAAGTTTTCTGCTTATTTATGGAAAAAAAATGTTTAAAACAAAATATACATACAGTCAGAACAGTGATGGAGGAGCCACGTTTCGTGCTAAGGCAGGCACGAGGCAGGTCCATCTGCTGCACCCAAGTTGTGCATTTGTAACGCCTGATGCAACATGTTAATGTGATTTCTTACCAGCTGTGGCCAAACAGGGCCAGACCCTGAGGCCAAGGCCTGGTGGTCTCAGCAGATAGCCCTGGACTGGCCTGTGCTGTGTCAGCCCAGGATTATGGATGGCAGGGAGCTTGCAGGGCTGACAGGTAATAATTCACTCCCCAGGGGTCTCACATCCTTCGCTGGTTACAATGCAACCAGCCAGGAAAAGTAGGGATGTGAAGAAAACCTTGAAGTGTACATCCTCCCCGCCCATCTCCTTTTCCCCCTTTCTTGCCCTTCAAGAACCAAGACTCTCACTGGCAGCACAGTTGCCACGGGTAACCAGCCATTATCAAAATGAAGTATGAGGTGTCAGACCGGTGCCGCTATCAGGTGCAGGGCCAAACAAAGTCCCGTATGTCGCGGCGCGAGGAGGAAAGATTAACTGTTGCTTCCTGGAGCACGGCACTGCGCTAACCCAGTCTTTAGACATCAACAGTTGCACATGAGATCGGAGACACTCCAGATAAATCACTGTTGTTAAGGTGGCACAACAGCAGCCTAAAATGTATCATCCAACACCATCGAGTTCGAGCTCAGAAAGGGGGGGAATGAGGATGAGAGCAGAAATTCAGCAACTTCAAGTGCGCTGTGGGATATAATGTAGACTTTTCATTTGTTCCACTACTATTTAGGTTTTTTTTTTTTTTTTCTGACTGGCCCAAGCTGTGAAATAAGAGTTTGTGCCTTATATGGAAAGAAACTAAGCACTTCATCTTCATGATGAAAAAGAAAATAGTCAAACAGAATGTCCCTCCAAGGACCACAACTCCCAGCCTCCGGTTAGAAACCTATTTCAACCATCATTACCCTGAGGACCATTAGGACGCTGCCATCTGCACACAGGGTCCTTCCATCAGCGGCTTCTTGTCATTTCATACTAAAAGCAAATGACAAAAATGGAAATTGGAAATAAAATTACACACTGCAGTGAACGCACCATTAACCATGCTAACTAAGCAACGAGCCCATCAGAGCTGGACGAAGACGAGGCAATTTTCAGCGGTGATAAGGAATGAATGCTTTGCTGGTAGTTTGCTCTCTCACACGTTTATGACTAACTCGCTTGTCAGCAGAACGACATTTCTTAATGATTATGTGTAAAAGAGGAGGGGGAAACAAAGACGAGAGGGTTGATTTGGAGTGTGGACAACCGCCACCAGCGAGGGCTGCATGCAGATTGGTATGCACTACTCATAGTGTGAGTAAGAGCACAGACAGATCTGCTGGTTCAGGCAGGAGCATCCCACTTGTCCTGCACAACAGTGCCTCCTCTCCTCGTCAGCACACCAGCAACATGTCACACAGAACGACGTGCATTTTTCTCACAGCAGAAAAAGAGTGCCAAGTCATTGTACGGCTGTGGTAAGAAACCGCAAGCCGTGAAAGCAACCTCCCCTCTCCCTGCTCTGTGAAATCACTGCAGCAGCTGAGAGGAGCGGGGATAAAGCAAAACTGAAGGAAGTCACAAGGTCCAACTGCACGGCCCCCATTGAAGCATCTGATTGCTTGGATCAGAAACAATCAAAACACAACGAGCACTATGCATTAGTCAGTACTAATGTTTAATCCGTGCAAAGTCAGAGTAAGATGTGCTTAAGGGCTGCAAAACTTTTGCAGAGCAGTAAAACGACGCCACCAAGAAGCTGATACGGGGTCAAACGGTTTCCAACAGGCCGGTATCGACGGAGACGATTGCGTAGTTCGTCTCTGTTGTGCACTGGCGAGATGCATTTATTGTTGGATTGTCGTGAGCCTCGACTGAAACTGGAAACCCTCTGAGAGAGTTCATGCACAACAGGCTGAAACAAATCGTGCAGCTGCAGAGACTTCCACATAAATAACCCCAGGAATGAACCTTGGGAGTGAAAGAAATATTAGTTTCTAACCTCCTTGTGCATGGACCTGCGTGCAGAAGCTGAAACCTGTTAGAACAATGAGCTCATTGTGTTCCCTGAGATCCTCTGGCACCAAGACCCAACTGCAGCTGAAGGATGGATGATTTAGGAGCCAACATGTTGGTGATTTAAGGGAAATGTTCATTTTGGGTATAATAAAACAGGCATCCAATTATCTCTCTATCGCTCTCTCAAGACATAAATGTTTATCTCCTCTGATTGTGAGGGCTCTCAAAGTCTTTATTTTAACATTATTTCCCACAAGCAGATCCGGTGTAAACTAATTCAGCACGCCCTCTCTGGAAAATAAAGTGATATCCGGATTCAATCAGCGTTCCGGGTTCGATTCCCACAAGACAAGCTGCAGAGACCGACTGCAATAATGAGAGGAAAGATTATCCAAGAACGGACACGAAATGTTTATACGTTAGGGGAAACATCTTGAGGACAGAATACGAGCAGCCTCGGCTGGCTTTTACATTTCTGCTATTAAAGAAATAAGACTTGGCAGCTGAAAACTAGCCGCTTCTCTGGAGCTAAAATTCAACTTGGCGAGAGTTGAAGAACAATTTAAGCTAATTAAACACTTCTGCCGTGTTGTTTTTGAACGATTCCCTCGCTGTTATAGTGTCAAAGTTGGAGCATCATCATCATCAGACCCTTAATGAGCAAACTCAGCACAGCTGCGACTACATTAAAAAAAAAACAAAAAACAAGGCGAACCAGCTCTTACCTTTTGTTGTCTCCCTGCTACTTCCACTGACAAAAACACACGTCGCTCGTTCTGGGGCGATTCAAAGTCGCGATAAAGAAGACAACGAACGAGTTGTTAGTTTGAAGCTTAAACTGTTAGTATTCCCAAAGAGCCAGCGTAGCGAAGAGACGCCCCACACTCTGCTGTGACAGGACTGGAGCCAGGCGAAGTGAAAAATCAAAACAATTCTACAGCCGTTTAGGCCACGCCTCTACAGCGCGGACTGACGGGGACTTTATCCAATCATATAACGAGGCTAGGATTATCTTGCCTCTGATTGGCTGAGGGTTTGAGACTGCGCGTTCGCTCCCGCCTCGCCGTCTCACTTTTCTCCCAGATGTTAAATGCCTGAACATCAGCAGCCCTGTGAGAATTATCCAACCAATCAGAGAGCAGGACCTGGGATTTGAACACAAACTCCAATAAAGTCAAAAAGTTTGAGGGGATTTGGATCCATTATAGGCCTGTGAAACTACAATATAGTATTTGTGTTGTTATTGTCTGTTTTATACTGTATTAGGTCAGATGTGTGGCAATGCAAATAGTTCTAATATTTAGTTGTATATCACATACTGACACATTGTGTGTTTTTATTAATAATATTTTGTAAATAAAAAAATATATAAAGCAAGAAAAAGGTAAAAAATCTTATTATGAGCTTTTAGTAGGAGACAAAAAGTTAAAGAAAATGATAAATATGTGTTTTAGAGGAAAATGTTATTCCTTGTTTTAGAATGGTTATTATTCAAAACGGCCTAGGGGAGGGTAGCACGGTGGCACAATTGATAGAGCTGCTGCCTCTCAGCGAGCAGGGCCCCGGTTCAAATCCCGGTCTGGGGGGCTTTCTGGGTGGAGTTTGCATGTTCTCTCCGTACATGTGTGAGTTTACTCCGGGTACTCCGGTTTCCTCCCACAGACCAAAAACATGCATGTTAGGCTGATTGGTAATTCTAAATTGTCCCTAGGTGTGTGTGAGAGTGAATGGTTTTTGTCTCTATGTGTTCCCATGATGGACTTGCGACCTGTCCAGGGTGTACCCCGCCCCTCGCACAGTGATTGCTGGACATGGGCACCAGCAACCCCCGTGACCCAAAATGGAAGAAGCGGGTAAAAGATAATGGATGGATGGATGGGCCTATGGGAAAGAACCCCTACATCAGCTATTATTATTCCTCTAACCCTTTTCATGACTTTCTTTGTTTAGTTTATTGCTGTTCTACATTAGCTAATGTGCATTTCTCTCACACTGTTATGTCATTATTTTAATGCTTGCTTTCTTAGTCTGATAAATTATTGTCATCCATTTGAATAGCCATTTGTTTCATCTGAACAAAGACTTGCATCTCCTTTTATACTCCCTGCTCTATGGCTCATGTAGTGACTGATATAGTACTATCTAATAACTTTTGACAGAACATGCCTTCAAAAATGACATGACTATCTTTTTAAAATTTAAAACAAAGTAATGTTTTCAATGTTTTCCAAGGTTACCAACCATTTAAAATTTAAGTTGTCAAGAACAGAAAGCAGATTGAACATTTTGCATTGCACATCATTTTAAAAAGTAGATTGAATTATTTTCATGTTTGCTCTTTCTCTTATTTATTTATTTATTTATTTATTTATGCATGTTTTTAATTCTGACTGTTTTGTTTGCCCAGCACATTTGGAGTTGTTGCATTGTTTACATTTTGCTGCTGCTGCTCCCTCAGGGCTGTGTGTTGAGCCCTCTCCTGTTCATTCTGTTCACATATGATTGTGCACCTACCCATCCAGGCTGTCAAATTGTAAAGTTTGTACATTATACAGCGGTGGTTGGATGCATCACAAACAATGATGAGCTCAGCTACAGGCAGGAGGTGGAACATCTGGAGAGCTGGTGCAGGAAGAACAGCCTTCACATCAATGTGAAGAAGATGAAGAAGATGGTTGTGGATTACAAATGGAACAAACACACCTACCCCACCCGAATATAGGAGGATCTGCGGTGGAAGTGGTCTCCAGCTACAAGTACTTGGATGTGCACCTGAATGACAACCTAAGCTGGGGCAACAACACCACCAGCCTGATCAAGAAAGCTCATCAGAGACTCTACTTCCTCAGGCGGCTGAGGCGAGCTGGTCTGGGAAGCTCAGTCCTCACCTCCTTCTACAGGTGTGCAGTGGAGAGCATCCTGTGCTCGAGCATCAACGTGTGGCATGGAGGCTGCACAGCTGCAGAAAGAAAAGCTTTGCAGAGAGTGGTGAAGGCTGCACAGAAGATGTTGGAGTCAGCCTCCCCACCATCACAGACATCTACACCTCCAAATGCAGGAAGAGGGCCACCTGCATCATGAAGGACCCCACTCATCCAGCACACACATTTTTTGTCCCACTCCACTCAGGCAGGAGGTTGAGGAGCATTAAGTGTAGAACCACTAGACTGAGGAACAGCTTCTATCCTGAAACTATTAGACTCAATAATCTCCATCACCGATATGGAGCATTTTAAATCTAATCTTAAAACCTTTTTATTCAGGCAGGCTTTTAATACCTAGTAGTTCTTTGACAATCTTGCTATGTTTTAATTGTTTTTGTTTTTAACTGGCTGATTTTTTTTTCTTAATTGTTTGTTTTTAACTTCTGTATTGTGCAGCACTTTGTGCACCTTTTGGCTGCTGGAAAGGGCTCTATAAATAAAGTTTGATTGATTGATTGATTGATCTAGTCAAATCAATGTATTGCCACTTTAATTGTTGATATGTCACTGTATCTGTGCTGCTGATTATCCATGCTGCTGATTTCTTGCCTTTAAGATGCTGTATTCCCATCTGCTCACAACAGACTCATGTTCAGGCTGCTGTTTAATACATCATATTATTTTACATTATTATTGTTTAGTATATATCTTAGATCCTTGTGTTTCTTTTTTATACTTTATATTTTTGCTATTTTTGGGTTTGACTGGGACCTTGAGTGCACAATTTCATTCCACCTCATGTACCACATGTGAGGTGAATGACAGTAAAGCAGCTTGAACCTTGGACCTTGCTGTACATATAAAATAACGTTTGAGACAAATGATGTAAACCTTGAATTTTGAAACAAATCCACACGTTTTTGAAACTACAACTATTCATCTATTCATCATTCTAGTTCACGCATGACAAACTTTGGTGCACACAGTTTCAGGTACGCTTTTCCAGCATGCCCTCTAAATTAAAATAGGTGAATTAATTTTGAAACTCACGGACAAAGCGTACCGACAACAGTTAATCATCTGGACTTAATGATATGTGGGATATTGCCAGAAACACTAATGAGACACCTGTGCAAATATGGCAGTGCTGAGACATTTGGTCTGACTGCATCGGTGCTTGATGATAATCTAAAAGATGGCCATAACCTGAGTGGCTCATCCATCCTTGGCCTTTGCATTTCAATTTCAGGCAGTCTCTTGTGTCAAAAATGCTCTTGAGTCACCGGCAGGACAACAGCTCAAGATGCCTGTGCAATGATTAATGGGTGTGTGTTTATCATTAAGTTGACTTTAAGATGATAAGACAGACCATATTGTGTTATGCTCCGTTCCCAAAGATTATAGGGGAAAAGCTAATTCTTTAAAATGTGGCTTTTTCAGATCATGCCAAGTAAAGCTACACTTAAAAATAATTGCTGGACTGACATTAAAGAGCTCATTTAAAAATATGAAGATATTGGTTTTCTTGTAAATAACGAGCACCCGTATCTGAATGCTGGACCAGTTAATAACTGTTTGCCCTAATTTAATATTAAAGCTGAATCCCTGCCTGGATTTAACCAAATGTAGGGAAATCTTTCCCATCAAATCTTCAGATCAGATGCTTTTGTTTTGTACATAAGCTGTTGTTTTCAGAGAGCGATGGTTGCTCACCCCGTGACTCCCGGTGTTATTTTCTGATGACATTTTATTTTATGAGCCAGCTCACTTTTGTTTTGTGACTTTCAGTGTACAAAGGGGAATGAACTTTCTTTCTTCTCGTGCCTTCGTATCTCCTAACCGCACTCCGTGCACAAACAACGGAGGTGTTGTGAAATTTGGACACAATAAATGGCTGGAAAAGGGCAGCGGCGTTGTGGGCTGTCATCATTCACAATACTGTTCACGTGTTTGCATAGAAACAAGAGAGATGACATACTAAGCTCACAAAAATATTTACCTGGCAACAAAGAGTACCCCGGAATATCAGAGACACACGGTGAAGCATTACTGTTTTACGTGACCATCGTATTGGTTGTTTCATTACTGAATGCAAGAATTTTGAGATGCTGTTTTCTAATAAAAAAAAAATAATCATAATTTGATCACTTATAAATTCATTCTGCGGGATAAAAGGCACTAACATATAGTGGGAATTATAAGGAACAGCTGATAATATGGGCAATAATGAGCTGTACCGTATTTTTCGCTGTATAAGTCACAGTTTTTTGCATAAGTTAGCATGCCCTACAACTTAAACAGCAAAGCGGCATATATATATATATATTTTTTTTCCATATTCATAAACCAATTTTTGGCTGAGATCTGATGATTTCATTCATTCTGACTGAAAATATTTAACATTACCATTTTCAGCCACTAGAGGGTCCTCGACTAGTACGGCAAGCCATGTGTCTCATTAATAGGTAAAAGTGGCTATTAATGAGACATTTGGCTTGCCATAGAGATGCACCTTCGTCTCACTCCGGGACTCCTGAAGCAAACGTCAACTCAGCTGCATTTTGTTGTGCTGCCCAGGTGAAATGCAGCTGATTTGACCGTCAAAGTGTATTTATTAAGGAAAAGTTCCACTGAGACACACCTTTGCTATAATTTCGAGCAAACAAATAATTGTTTTTAAGTGTTCATCTTGTTAAAGTCGTCCCCTGCACGCTCCTGCGGCCGCCATTTGGCAGCCATTCGATTTTTGGCACAACACCGAGGCACATCTCTTGGTTGTCAGCGGTGACGCTTAATAGATGTGACTTACACGGCGAAGCGACTTATTTATGTTTTTGTTTTTTTCCAATTTCTTAGACATATTTGGAGTGATGCGACTTATACGGCGGTGAAGCGTGTAAGTACGGTAATCAAAATGTCAATAGTGTAGCAGGATCTCCAAAATTAAATGTAGATTTGTC